GGCTAGTAAGTGAGGGATCCAATGCACACACAGAAGGGCTTGATTCTGGGACCAATGAATTTTCAATTATCCTATGCTGCTGTTTCTAAGTACCCTATGAATACTTCTCTTGATAGCTCTCCCAACACCTAAACATACAAATAATACTTGGTGATCTGAATACTATAAATGTACTTGAAAATTAAATGCAGGGCTTGTATTTAAGCCCTGGATTTATATCATTTTACATGATATAAATCTATGATCCTATGTATCACAAAATCTCAGAGATGGAAAGGTCCTCACAGATCAACCAATACCTGAAAAGAAATTCCTTCTACAACATCCCTGACAATTGGTCATCCAGTTTCTAGTGAGAGGAACCCATTATCTCATGAGGCAACCTATTCTACTATGGACAGTCTTAATTTTTAGGAAGTTTTTTTTAAAAATTGAACTGAAATGTTTCTAAGTACCTTTTATCTATTCCTCTAGGTTCAAGCAGAGTAAGTCTAGCCTGTCTTCCACATAACAGCCTTTCAAAAATGTAAAAACAGCTATTATACTCTCCCTTCCAAATTTCTTTTCCTAAGAATAAACATTTCCAGTTCCTTCAACTTATCCCCACATGGCATAGTTTCCAGTCACCATTCCTGATTACCCTCCTGTGTATATACAATCCAATTTTCCAATGTCTTTCCTAAAAAGTGACTGCCCAGAACTGAGTACAATATTACTGATGTAGTCTGGCCAAGATATTATCTTGATCTGCAGGACTTTTCTTATTCATAAGGTGGGTACTAATGCTTTTTGATAGTGATGACAATAATCTGAAGAACTCTGCAGGCAGTTAGACAGAGAGCTCAGGACTTGGGAGTCAGTAAGACCCGAGTCTGAATACCACCTCCAACACTTACTGGCTGTGTGACTCTGGAAAAGTCACTTAACCTTTCCATTTCCAATCAGTACTTTAGGAATTCCTCATCTGTAAAATGAGGAAATTGAACCAAATGGCCTCTGAAGTAACTTCCATTGGCAATAGCCTTATGTTTAAAGAACACAGGTCAGAAGACCAAAGCTGTCATTCTGGTTCTGCTGAAGCCTGTCATTTGACCTCTTCAATCTTCAGTTTCCTCATCTGCAAAATGAAGCTGTTCAACTGTATGCCTCTAAAAAACTTAATTGTAATTGCCTTAATTTTATAGCTGAAGATCAAACTAACCATAAAGAATAAAGACTTTCTCAAGAGCACACAGCTAGTTCGTAGCAAAGCTAAAACCTGAATCTACATCTCTCCACTTTGGATACAACATGCTTCATTCTACTAGTACTGATGGCATTTTACCAATAATTTTTAATCTGTATTTTTTTCTACTGTTTTCAAATATGGAGATCAGACTCTAGATTACCTTAAGATCCTTTCTAGCTCTAAATTTTACGACATCCTGAGATCTTTTATGATAGCCAAGAAGATAAGCTAATGAGTAAAATAGGTCTTAATAAGAATCAGCTCAAGTTCAAAAACAGTGTGATAATTTATCTGGTGATTTCATGGTAGTGGTGAAAGTTCTCTTTTACTCATTTTCTAATTCTTGTTTAGTAGGTGATGTGGCCACATTCTAATGACTGATGATATGGGAAATGGGCCTATCTAGAACAGAGAAGGATTTATACCTGCTGCAAAGAGATAAATGCAATGAGATTTAAATGTGTACCCAAGAAATGAACAGTGCCTAAGGAAAAAGGGAGGAGGGGAAGGGGAGAAGAGACAGAGTCTATGCTGATGGCTATTAGTAGGGGTAAAAAAACAGCTAAGGTGGGGAATCAGAGCCAGAGATCTCATTGTGGTTTATTGAATAATAACTGTTATTTCTATGATTTTTTTGCTTTGCAAAATACTTTATAAACATGATCTCATTTGACACTTACAACAATTCTGGGGGATAGGAATTAATATTCCCATTTTGCAGATGTGGAAAATATGTCACTATGTGGAGGCTTAGGCTTAGAGAGGCTAAATGACTTGCTTATGACACTGAACATTTACTCTGTTAGAGGTTCTGAAGTCTTGTCTTTCTGAATCTCAGCCCAGCACTCCAGGTACCATACCAAGCTGTCTTTCTGTCTTTTGTTCACATGCTAAATTGGAATCAACCAGTCCTTTAGTGAAGCATTTAGAACTAATTCACTTAGTTACTTGCCAGAGCTATTCCAAATAAAAAAAAATGCATAAATATGTTCAATGTCTGCAGGATACTCTGCAACTCTGGCTATCTGCAGTATGTGATTTATAGAGAAAGAGACACCATGACAGGAGAGAGTACCAGAGCAAGGACTGCAACAAAAATGAACTTTTCTATTTCATTTCTGTTATCGATTCTTTACATCAAATCCATAGATTTGAAGCCCTGAGAGATATCAGAAGTTATCTAGTCCAACCATGTCATTTTACTGATGAAGAAATTGAGACTTGGAGGAGTGAAAGGACTTGCACAAGGTCACACAATGCTGGATTTAAAACCAGGTTCTCTTTCCTCGAATCTAGCACTCTTTCTACAGTATCACATTCCTGCAAGGTAAAAATGAACAGGGAAATTTCTAGCAGGAATTTCTAAGATCTCACCAAGGCCATAACTAATATAGGACTAAAGATCCTCTCTACTGCAATCCTCTCTACTGCTAACAGCCAATCAGTGGTAAAGCTTCCATTCTGTGGCATACACTGATATTTCAGCACAGTATATATTTAAAAATGGAATTTTATTTTTAAGGTCACAAATGAGATAGATCACACATAGTTAATAGTTTTGTTTGCTAATGACTTCTCCTTAAATTTTCTCTGTAGCTATTTTTAAAAAAAAATAAATATTGGGACCCAAATTCCAAGTGATAAAGATAGTTTAGGAAAGGCACAGGGCTTAACTGGGCAAAACCCTGTATGTATAGTACTTATATAAACAGGACTAGGTGAGTGGACCAGATAACTTAGGTGGAGACTAGAATAAGAGATGCTAGAAGGAGGCATTCTTATTCTTTTCTGGGTCATGGACTTAATATGGGAGACTAGTGAAGCCTATGATCTTCCTCTCAAAATAATGGTTTTAAATGTATAAAAAAAATACATAGAATTACAAAAGAAACCAACCATACTGAAATAAAGATGTAATTTTTTTTTACTATCCAAGCTCCTGGAGCCCCTGAAATCTATCCTTAAGTTAAGAATCCTTGCCTCAGACTACCTAATTCTACACTGATTTCACTGAGGCACAGATGGAATAAATGATTTGCCCAAGGTCATGATAAATAGTAAGGTACACAGATGAGATCAGAATGCAGGTCATCTGATTCAGTGTTCTTTCCACAGACCATACTGCTGCCTCACCTAATAAAGTAGGCTGCTTGTATTGGCTAAGGGAAAACTTGGCTTTCTCCTGATCTGTTTCCATGGCTACCTAGTGAAAGCTTGAGGATACTAAATAGTACAGTGTTTGTACATGCTGGGAAGCTTTTTCCATAGGGCTCCCCCCTTACATCAAAAAGTCCTATTTCAGGGTTCTAGGGTTGTAGCAGCCACGGTCAGGAAGGGAGACCTATGTTTGGCAGAAAGGCCACTGTTATCCACAGATGGTTAATAAACAGCAGATGCTCAAGGAACAAAAATTGCAGTTTATCCTAAGAAGGTTATAACTTCCTTTTCTCAGTACAGCATCTCATAGGCCTTTGCGTGGGGCCTCTGTTTCTTGGCTGTGGTGAATAGGATCAAATACCAGATTTCTTAAGTCAGGAGACCTGGCCTCAGATTGTCCCTCTACTACTTACTACTTCTCAGCACCTCAGTTGCTCCAGGCCATATGACCTCTAGCCTTAGAATTATGACCCTATATAGATAGATTTGTTGTAATACATCTGACTAGACAGAATCATTCTGCTTCTCAAAGGAGCAAGTTACATAAACAGTAACTTGTCACAGGAAGGGCAGAGATGCTTTTAGATGCAGTAAATTTGTTAAGATGGTGCCCTTTAGATCCTTATTATGGGGTCCTGGCTTTAAATGAACTAGAAACATTTTATAGAATCGTGAACCCTATGCATTTACATGTTCACCAAAGAGCCCATTTTGCGACAGAATCACTTACTGTGCTGGAAGACCTCAGATAATGCAGGACATCAAGTGATAAAAGATGGCATGTAAAACTAGAGTAGTTATTCATTTCAGAGCTCACAGCTGCATTTGTGGGAAAGGGTGGTGCTCCTAGTGTCATAATTCAAAGTACAACTGAAAGCAAATGAACATTCCCCCCTTTGCTATGGTTGTTACAAATCTTTGGAAAACACTAGGCATATATTTTATTCTTAATTTATACTTCTTCATAGGTCAGTTCTCTCCTCCCTTGCCCCACACTTTTACGCCTTACTGTACTCTTCACCAAGTTATTTACTTTCCTCCGCCTTTAACCCCATTTTCTTCCTTGCCAGAAACCTCATAGCCTTATTCCACTTGGACTCCCCTCACCTCTAAGAAAAGGATCCCCTAAACTGTTCCAACCCCAAATTTCTCCAAACTCAATTAAAATTCACTCTAAAAAGATCTTTGCTGGATCACCTCTAGTGAATGCAACTCGGCCTTTGCACAAAAGCCTTGTCACCTGCCCGAGGCCTATTTGTACCTTGAGCATCTTAAGCATCAGTCTGGATTCGTCCTCATCTGCAAAGCTACTCAAAGACACCCGTTCTGACTCCCCACAGCTCTATGCTCTATGTTCCGGACGTTTGATAAATGCTCACTTGCTACGATGTCGGAGTATCCCTTATACTTTAGCTTCTTTATCCCCTTTACTATAGCTTCTTTAAGCGTGGGGGATTGAACGATAGCTGGGGGGCTGGCTGGTGGGGGGGGAGGGTGCAGACGACGAAAATGAAGGGGGGGCGGGGAGCTAACGTTCTCTCCCTCGGCCCCGAGGCAGGGGGAGGGGCGGAAGCTCCCGGGGCGTTCCTCGCGTCTGTCCGAGCTCCGGACTCACCTGGGTACCGCAGCCAACCGTAAGGCAAGAGGGGGAATGAAGACAGGGGATTCGTCAGGTTATATCCCCGGGAACTTCACACACGTTTTCCCCCATTAAATCCAGAATTCGTCACATTAAGGGGGGAAAAAAGCGGTCTGCACCATTCAGTTCCGGATCCTACAGGAGCAGCAAAATTACAGCCTCACTCAAGCTTCTGTCTCAGCTTCCCCAACATCCGGGGCGGAGGCTTAGCGGCTCTGTGACTACGTTAATAGGTAGAGGGAAAGCCAAGCAAAATCTTTACCACGCCTCCTTTCCGGAGATGATTGGCTGATTGCAATGTCAATTCGACACAACGGACCCTTCTCTTTTACTCTGGTTCGATAATACAGGCATCAATTAAATCCTATTAAGTCGCGTGGGTCCGCCTCCCCCTGCTGCTATTGGCTAGAGGAAAAACCAATCCAAGGGAGCTTGGGAAAAGCTAGCCCCGCTTTTCTTCTCCATTGTAGAAGGCAAGTGTCAATTGAAGTGAACCAGACTTCGGCTCCTCCCAGCCGCGGTATCCACGGCTCCTCCTCCTCTCCTTCCCTCCCTCCCCCTTTTCTGGGTTTGGGAGGCAACAGCCTTAGAGGGAGAGAGAGAGAGAAGGAGGGAGAAGGAGGCAGAGGAAAGCAGAGGGAGGGTGAGGGAGGGAGAGATAGGGTGGCCCTCGGGAAGGGGGCGGGGCGAGGCGAGGCGACGCGGCTCGACTCCTCGGGCGGCTGGCGCGGGAGCTTACAGCCTAGTCGTGGTCAGTCTAGCACCCAGCGGCAGCGGCAGCGGCAGCATTTACCCGCTTCTCGGGTGTCTCCAGCGCTTCTCCCCCACCCCCGGCCCGCCAGCGAGCGGCTCCGGCGGCCACGGTAAGGGCTGCTTCGGCTGCGGAGGTCGTTCGGGACTGACAGAATCTTGGGGATGCTGCGGAGCGAGGCCAAAGGGGCGGGCGAGCCAGCCCGAGGGGGAAGGCATGGGAGAGAGGCGAGCGTTCAGGGATGCTGGGAGGTGGGGTGGGGGGGCGCCGCGCATCCGGGGACTCGCACCCCACTCTGCGGCTCCCCGCGGCCGGGGTCTGCAGCCCGGTGACAGCCGGGGTTCTTTGCTCCCGCTCCCCCCTCCTCTCTGTCCCTCACCATTGCTCGCTGGCCAGCCGCCCCCGTCTTGGTGGTGGCCGGTGAATAAGCTGTAGGGCCGTCGCCCCCCGGGAGTCCCTTCTCGTCCTTTCCAGCTTCTCCTGGACTGCTTGGGGGGGGTACTGTGGAGAAAAGGGGAGGGACGTTGCTAGTGGAGGGGAGAGCGAGAGGATGGAAGGGGCTTCTGGGCGTGGGGGGGCACTGCTTGGCAGCCGGGGGACTGGATGAGGGGTGGGGTGGGAGGCGTGTGTGTGTGTGTGTGTGTGTGTGTGTGTGTGTGTGCGCGCGCGCGCTTTGCGTCCTGACATACCCAGGAACCCACATACAGAGAAAGAGCTAGCTAGCTGCAAGGGACCTTGGAGGTCACCTAGTCCAACCCACTCATTCTGCGGAGGAAAAGAGGGGGGTCGCTGTTGGACAGGCTTACCTTAGTGCAAAGCAGTCCACCCCATCTCCCTCCGCCTGTGGATGCCCAGCCAAAGGAGGCAACAGTTTGGTTTCTCATGCCAACACTCACCCAGGAGGAGCGGATGGCGAGGTCTGGCACAAGGTCCTTTATTTCCCGTCTACAGACAATGCCCCTGGGATCTCTCTGTCTGCTTTGACCTTTCAAAACTTCTTTCTCTTTTCTTCCTAATGTTGTCAGCCACTAAGGACTGCTGTGGTCTTCTTACCTTGCAGACCCAGGCTTTCTCCCTTTAACATCCTAATTTTATGGCTCATACTTTTATCACTCATCTACCTCCTTTTTTTCTTCCTTCCTTCCTTCCTTCCTTCCTTCCTTCCTTCCTTCCTTCCTTCCTTCCTTCCTTCCTTCCTTCTTTCCTCCCTCCCACCCTTCCTCCCTTCCTTCTTTCCTTCCTTTTTTTTTTTACCATTTGCTCCGCTAAAGCAAATGGCAATATTATATATTGTTCCAAATGCCTTAGTGCAGCTTTTGTAAGCCACAGGAAATAGGTTTTTAAAAAAAGCTATTAAAGTTTAAAACAGCACTAAGACTTTAGGAACACCTTGTATAATGTCACTTTTAATAGCTTTTACATCTATTATAGCTTAAAATTGCACTAAGATTTTGCAACACCCTCTATGAACTATTTAGAGATAGCTGGATTGTGAAGAAATAAGTTTATTTCAGAATTCTTTCACATCATGGAAAAATTATTTAATATATTTAATCTTTGGAGAGACATATTAAGGGAGTCAGAAAGACCTGACTTCCATTACCGGATTCATACTGGCTATATGCCCCTGGCATGTCATCTAATAATCTCTAGATGCCTCTCTAAGAGACAAATTGTAGAGGAGGTGTGAACCTTCTTGGTTGAGGGAGTAAAATCTGTGAGTTCACTGTTGCAGTGAAATCATAGGTCTAATCCCTAAGCTCTGTTTAAGTTTTTATAGCCTGTATTTATTGCAGTTTGTTAATGCTTTGTTTGTTCACCCCACCTTAACTCATAATGTTTGTGGCCTTCAGATTTCTAGTATTGCTGTTCTGTTCCTTTCAGTTGACCCTAGCATTAGAAGTGTATTTAACGGTATGCTGTTGGTAACTTTTGGAAGCACATTTTGTAGTTTAGATTTTAGGGGTGCCATATTTTTCAGTAACTTCTTTCAGGAACTTGTGGAGGTTTCCCAAACATTTTTAAATACTGAAAGAAAAATCAGTGAAGTTTTTGGAAACTACACACATCTGCCCGGCTAACTCTCTCTCTATATGTGGGTTCCTGGGTCCGTCAGGACACAACACACACACACACACACACACACACACACACACACACACACACACACGCCTCCCACCCCACCCCTCATCCAGTCCTGTGGCATAATTATCTAATTCTAAATTCATAAAATAAAAATAGTTAAAGTGACAAGAAGGCAATTCTTAGGTTTTGTTGAAAGGAGACTACATTGCACTGCCTGTCAGGTGAAATGGCTTTTCTAGTCTCTAGTCCTAGCTTTGCCACTGGCTAGTTGGATGACCTTAGGCAAGTCATAGGCTTATAAATTTAGAGATGTAAGGGACCTTTGAGGTCACTGCTCAAACCTCATCATTTTGCAGGTGAAGAAAATGAGGCCCAGAATGGTTAGGTGACATAACCAAGATTACTGCTGTTTTACTGAATGTTACAATATGCTATTTTGAGGGTCAGTGACTCCTGGAACACTTTCTTGAAGTCTGTGCAGGCCAGTAGTTTGTATTTCTAAGACACTCACAGGTTTGGTTTCTCTAAGGTGGAGAGTAGCTATATTTTAATTTTTACAATTTTCTAGAAAAGTTTGAGGGTGTGGATTGAAGACCAAATTATGTCTTAAAATCCCACAGTAGAATGTAGTTAGGAACTTCTGTGCAATCAGAAATATGGCTCTTACTGCCACTCCCAGCTTTATATCTCTCTGTGTGTGTGTGTGTGTGTGTGTGTGTGGTGTGTGTGTGTGTGTGTATATCTATCTTCCTCTTACTACCACTCCCAGCTTTCTTTATGTGTGTGTGTATGTATATGTATATGTATATATATATATCTTCCTCTTACTACCACTCCTAGCTTTATATGTGTGTGTGTGTGTGTGTGTGTGTGTGTGTATGTATATATATATCTTCCTTTCCATTTTGCAGCAATTTCTTATATGAAAGTAGCAGTACATTGCAGTTTGTAATCCCATAGATAATTATGTATGTAATAAAAATTTTAAAGTATAAATTTGTCATTGCTGCATTGATTTTTGTAATCAGTGAGGATAAATGCAACAAATCCACTTTAATACTCAGTTGTTTATTGCAAAGTTGGTTATCATTTTTAGAGTGAAAGAAGCTTTACTTCTTCAGAGGAAACCTAGGCAGACCATAATGGGGCTAGAGTCTATAAAATAAAGATGGGTTTCTTTTCTTTTTCTTTCTTTTTTGGTGAGGCAGTTGGGGTTAAGTGACTTGCCCAGAGTTACACAGCTAGTGAGTATGATGTCTCTGAGGCTGGATTTGAACTCAGGCCTTCCTGACGCCAGGGTCGGTGCTCTATCCACTTCACCACCTAGCTGCCCCTAGGATGGGTTTCTTTTAAAACACAGTGCCCAGTGCATAGTAAAAACTTAATAAATGCTTTTTGACTAAACTTGCTGTTTTAACCAAAGTGACATTAAAACTCTGACACAGAATTTTATTTTAAACTGCCAGAATTTTTTGAAGTACAATTTTTGGGAAGGAGGATAAAGCAATCTGTCTCTCTCTCTCTCTCTCTCTCTCTCTCTCTCTCTCTCTCTCTCCATATCTATCTATCTATCTATCTATCTATCTATCTATCTATCTATCTATCTATCTATCTATTTACTGACCATGTGAAGTATTAGAGAAACTTGGTGTATGGATATTCCAGTTTTTAGAAATGTAACAGTGTAGTATTCCCTCTACCAAAGCAGACAGTCATCCCTCCATGCCTTCACCTTTTCTGCAATTCTTGTGTTCTTCAACATACTTCCATAGAAAACTGGCCTAATGTTCGGGAGGCCTTCCTCTGGTTCTGTTAATATCTCTGATCCTTACCCTGTTCAAAGCCAGGCCATCACACTCTTCCTGGCCATTTCCAAACATCTTTATGTGACTTCCCCTGTTAAAATATAAGCTCCTTGAGGGCAGTGACTGTTTTCTTTGTTTCTGTCTTGCTAATGCTTAACACAGTGCAGGCACATTGTAAGTGCTTTTAATAAGTACTTTTTTATTCAGTTATTGAAGGTAAAAAAACCAGACAAACCAGAGTACTGAGATTATTTCTTTCCCTTTCCTTTTTCTCCTTGTCTCCCATTTTCTTTTTTGTTCTCCTTTTTTGAGCCTGGTCTTCCTATTTCACCCAGGCTGGAACTAGACAGGCCACATGTGGGACCAACATATCTATTGATAGGCTCCAAAGGTTTCACCTGCTCTGTTTCTAATGAGGACTTATTGTCCTCTCAGGCACGTTAGTAGCCCTCTACTCCAGATTTAGGGTGGACATACCATCAGCTTTAGCCCTGCCTAGAACTCTCAGCCTCACATGATCCACCAGCCTTGCCCTCCTTCCCCACTAGCAAATGTTATAGGCCTGCACCAATAT